GAGTGAAGAGGGCACATCCACTCGGAAAACCGAGGTCAAGACAGAGAAAAGTCTTGCCAGGCAAAACATAAGGAATAAAAATGTAGAAACCTTGAAGACCCCTGTTAAAGGAAAGCTCTGCTGTTTGGATGTGGCACTATTCTGTGTTTTGCTTTTAAGACTTTTCATTGCAGCTAGGGAAGGACAACGAGCAGCCATTTGAAAGAAACCCAGTTAGATATTTGGTTGGATACTCTATGAAAGCCAGGTCAATAGGAACACAATTGCAATTAGTTACCATCTCTCTGGAGGAAGACCTAATGGCAACTTGTGTCCTGTTGCTTTGTGTGGTAATGTCTGTTTTTATCCACGTCGTTGGGAAAGTGCAGCATGTCCTTCATCTCTGGGAAAGGTGGGGAGGAACCAAGTGTGCTATTATTGATGGAAGTTGACATAATCTTTCACTGATGTCAAGGGCCTTAGATAAATCTTTTCCCCCTTGTTTTGTGGTTGTTGGGGAGTTTTTAGTGTGGTAGCAATGTTGTCTCTTCTTTATTCGGTCACTTTTAAGTGAATCTTTGGACACTACGAATGGCTTTGGAGATGGGAAGGGCAAAACAAGCCCCTTTCAGTTACCCTGTAGAGCAGTCACACACGACAGATTCATCCCTGCTGCACTCCTAGGTTTTATCTGCTCACTAAATTTTATTTCCCCTCCATGAGTGTTTATATTGCTTAGAGACTGCCAAGGTTCATGTTATTCATAAAAAAAAAAGTGGAGGTTTATTAGGTATTGCAGCCCTGTGATTCTTTGGTATTTGAATGTTAATGAAGCTTTGTGTTCTCTAGAATAGTTAGAGAGGTGGACCTTAGCTCTGRCTTATCAGTATAGCCAGGGATGGGTTTTTCCTCCCTTTCCTTGGSTTTTAACATTTTACGTGACATTTCATCCCAGAGCAATTTTACACTATGTATCATCATGTGTAACACCGTGTCATGCTGTAATTTTGCAAGTGCATGAAAGGGCAGGAGGGAGGTGAGAGGGGCTTCAATTACACCCAGGAGGGAGGTGAAAGCTCAGCGGAGGGACCTGCCCCTGCAAGGTAATGAATTGGGTGTCAGCACTTTGCTGGCGCAGAGCAGCAGAGCAGAGGGGAATTTATTACCTTTAGGGACTTGTTGGGCAGGTAAGAGGAAAGGAGCCAGTCTTGTCACATTACTAATGGTCATTTCCATTGGTTTGTATTTAACAGTACAAGAGAAATTCATCCCAGTCCCAGACAGCTCAGTTATTTCTTTCTCAAAGGATAAAGAAAGAACTCGACCCCTTCAACTGCCTCAGGGTGATAAGAGTTGAAGGAGACTTTGATAGCCCCTTTTGGGGAAGGAAAACAAGGAGTCATTCAGGGCGAGGGAGATACCCCACAGGTCAGGGGCTATTCCCCTTTCATGGCCTCTTCTGTAGGCACAAGAAGAGTCTTCTGGGGTTGAGAAAACTCATGCAAGGCAGGAGAAAAGAACAAAATAGATGCCGGGGCAACAGGAATTACATGTGCAGGAGAGTATGGGTGTCTGTACGTGGGTGTCTGTAGCTAGCCCTGCTTTGGATGGCTGTATTCAATAAAAATGGCTAGGAAATGTGCAGCTTCAGGTTCTCAGAAACAAGAGCTTCTTTCACTCTGAGCATTGTTTTATRTTGGATAGTATTCAATGTAATCTTGGTGCCCCTTGTCTCCTCCTCTGCCCTAAGACCTAGTATTTTCTTTCAGGTTAGCACAAGTGGGAATTCTTCATTCACTGCACATTGTAATTAGGGCAGAACAGCCACATCAGAAAGCTGAACCATTCCTGTTTTCTGAATTTTTGGCTAGGACTGCTCTCTRAACTTTGGCTTTGATAGAGCAACATGCATGGAATTAGTGCCTTCAAATTAACCTTGAAGGGGAACTGTAGCAATGCCATCTTGGGTAATGCTACTGAATTTGCTATCCAAGGAGCTGCCAGACTTTGCATGCTTTTATTTTAAATGGAGGAAGAGCTGATGGCCATTTATTCTACATGGGAAAAATACTCTTCCATGTTGATTTATCAGAGCAGGGTTGTGATGTGTCATACTGGAAAATGGGCTTTACCCCTGATCTTCCATTGCAGAAGTAGACAGTGTTGGCATATTTAATCCAGGAATAATCTTTTTGACAATTTTTTTTTCAAAGTGACTTTTTTCTTCTTTTTTTTTTTTTTTTTTTTTACTTTTTCAGGTTTAATCTGTCTTCTTTTTAGAGTTGAAACCATGGTAAATTCTGCTTCCCTCCCCTCTAGACTCCAACTTCTTCCTTTGCAGCAGTATAAAAAGGGAGATTGCTTCCTTGGGTTGGGAAGTAGAATTTCCTCTTTCCTGTCAAGCTTTCCATTCAAACTTGTATGCAAATGTGCATTGCTGGAGGAGAAATGGACCTATTTTCTTGGTCAGACTATTGAAATCCTTGCAGTTGTTCTGTGTGTCTACCATCTACCTCTTTAGTGCACTAGGACCCACTTACACATGTATTTTGATGAGATCCAGCCGTACATGCTTTTCCCTTTGAGGCTGCCTTTTGCTTAATTGACCCCTTTTGCAGAAGACTAGGACCCAGGGAGGAGGTTAGTATGAATAATTATGCTAAAAGGAGGGTCAGAGCTTCAGTGAACTATTCATCTCTGGGAAAGCCCGTTAGCCCCAACCTTCTTATCTTTTTATGTTTTATTCTAAAGCATTGACTTAACAATGAACTTACGAATCTCTCCTGCTAGACATAATCTCCATTCCTCTCAATTTCCTGAGCTTTGAACTGGGTATGTTGGGTCAAATTGAACAGCAGATGTAGATTTAACTTCACTCTTTCGTGTCCTCTTCCTTAAAATAGCCACCAAATTGCAGTTCTGGATGTTCCAGCATTGCAGGTGGCATTACCAGGGCTTTTTTAACTTCTGCCAGTGTTAGTGAAAATGCTCTGTGTGCTTAGGAATGCACCTCAACAGGCAGCACACCTTTCTGCAAAATTGGTGAGGAGTCTCTTGCAATGCAAGCCATTGCAGCAGCCTTTCGAGTCTGTGCAGTGACTGCACACCATATAGATTCTCAGAATTAGAGCTGCCACAATGACCAAAACAGAGAATCAGAGCAAAATTCAGTATGAATCAACATTAAGCAACTCATATCTTTATTGATATATCACTAATATATAATATTATTATTATATTCATAATATTATCTTGATGAATTCTGAAATTTGTCCAGATTGCTCTTCATAAGCTGCAGTTCTGTGTCTGATACACTGAAGGAATTAYCTCCGTATTTCCCCACCTTCTACCATCAACTGGTATTGTATATACTTTGGTGRAGGAGCAGCTTCTACCTTTAATTGCTTAGACACTCATATGAAAAAAATAAGGTGATTAGGACGTAACTGTAACAACAAAATGCATGGTGCGGCTGCATGCCACAAGCTTGCAGGATGGGATGTTGTCCAGGCGAGCAGTACCTGCCTCTTCAGACCACTGCTGTTCCCAGCTGAAGGATTCCTGGTGTGACCAGTGGCTGGGGAGAACTTGCAGCCCAGGATGGGCTCCTGTGCCTGGTGGGAAAGTGGAATTCAGGAGCAGACTGAGGTGACAGGAATTGCAGTAAGTAATTCCTCTCTTACTGCAAACTTGGCCTCCACCTTTTGCTGTAGGAATTTCATTAATCTCACACTGGCTGCCCACACTGTTGTCAGTGCAAGTTTTACATGTTTACCCAACTGCTGTACTTGCCCCTTCGTCTCAGTGAGTGCGTGCATTTGATTATGAGCTCTAGCTTGCATGGTAGCATTGGAGCCCCAGGGATTTTGCTGTATTTTTTATGCCAATCCAGATCAGTGGGAGACAGCAGATTCAGCAGGATGGGTTGCTGCAATTTAGGCAAGAGAAGTACAAAACCTTTTACCTTGCACTTTCTTAATTCCAGCTGGGACCAAAAAAGATTTGGAGAAGGGAGGAGGGAGGCGGGGCTGGTGCTGATAAAACATGCACCTTAGCTGAACTTTGCTGAAGGAGTCAATATGAACTTGAGCCTTTCCCTAGAGGCACAAGAATGCCTCTGGGAGCCTTGCTCATTCCTTAGGGAGGATATAGCTAAAATAGCAGATTAGGGACTTAGTTCAAGCATTTCAATGAGGGTTTTCCTTTTTTAGGAAAGGGGGCTGCAGCAAAGAACCAAAACAGTTCAGCAATGGGAACATCAATTTCAGAATGAGGAGAGGAGGAATATTTGAACCCTCCACAACTTGTTGTGTCAGGTGCTTCCAGCACTGTGATCTGAGATGCTTGCAGAGGCAACAGCCATGCATGCAGTCTGCCTTCTCTTGGATGTATTGTGGGATATGTCAGTTGGMCTTTCTCAGTAGTTGTGATATTTTCATTTTACAGCTTTGATAAGTAAAGAAGGGTTCCCATTCTCCCGCCCTCCCTTTTACAAGTTACTCAAGGCAGAATTTAACTTTGTAGTGTCACCCAGAAAGTGCAATGGGGCCTGTGTTACAGGGGCTTTATTCTTCATACTTGCTCCCCTACCTCTGCTATCRGAAAACTAAGACCTTGCCAGGACTATAAGGCAGGCTTATCTGCACAGATTGGACCGTGCCTGCGGATTCCGGGTGGCTGCTGGTTGATCCTGCTGGGCTAGCAGATGATGCTTTCTGTTGAACAGCTGAGAGCATGGGAACAAAAAGCCTCTGAGAACACATAAATTCCCGTAAATTCGCAAGGAGTTAAACACAAGAACATGCTCTACTGAAGGTCTAAGGGGGGCAGGGGAAGAAACGATGTCAGAATTCAGAGCTATTGAATGTAGCGTTCATTCAATTACCATGCTTAGTTAAGCCCTACACAGTGGAGTGAAGACTGCAGTCTGTTAGGATGGATGTTACTATAACTCATTTAATTATGAGGTTGCTCATATGCCATTTTAACATATGTAGAGTAATATTATCCCTCTTTTGYAGGTCACTATTCTCATAAGCCTGGCTCTTGCATTCCTTGCCTGCATAGTGTTTCTCGTGGTATACAAAGCCTTTACTTACGACCACAGTTGCCCAGATGGATTTGTTTATAAGGTAAGAAACTTCAGATGGATGAATTGCTTGAGATAATGATAGGCTCTAATTGACTACATGGTTACAGTCTAGTCTGCCTTTTTTTTTCTTATATTTTTTTTTGACCAGGCCAAACAGAACATTTGGCAAGAATGTGTTGCAATGGGAAAAGTGTTATGGGAAATGTAGACTTGCATTTGTCTCTGTCAGCTACTGTTACATTGCAGTTGTTCGGATTAAYGTTTGGGGAACACTACAGACAGATGTTCAGGAACAATCTCTCCTATTTGTGAATGGATTTATTGCAGCTGGAATCCTGCGTTTGCTTCCCACACATTCAAGAGATTGAGGTTTACTGGCATACATTTTAATACAAAGCAAACTCTCGGAGTGCTGGCACATGTGTCCTTTGTGAAAGAAATCCAAATTTACCCACATAGTACACTTTTCAAGTTGCTTTTCAGACTCTACTGGGAACAAAACCATATAACTTAATTGCTTAAGCCTTTCTATCCAGTGGGTTTATATAAAATATCCACAGAGAAAATTTTGCCTGGTCTGCTGACATTTAAAAGAAAAAAAGTTTGCAAAATAGTTCATTGCTGTGGATAAACTCATGAACTCCCAGGAGCCTTGACTATATGGGGGATAGTCTATGAGCTGGAAAACACAGTAAGCGTCCTGGTGTATTAGTCATTGTTAATTACTCTCTTAGGTTATAAAAAAGTGGATTTGGGACTGAATCATGCATTTCAGAATCCGATCCAAAGCTGAACTTCTGAAAAGACTAAAGGTTTTGGACTCAGATTTTGGCTAGTAACATTGAACTGGGAGTTATCTCACGGTTTAATAATAATTGTTCCTGAGACCCTTTATGGCCTTGGTAATACTTTACTTCTGGTCCAACATTTGTTACTGTTTGATTGCCCTATTACGGCTATGGCAAAATAAACTGTTTGATCCATGCAGTTCTTAGCATCTAAGTGTCCACACTAGAGCAGAGGTGATTCATTGGCAGGGTCTGCACAGACAAGAAGCTCTGAAAAGGGCTGGCCWGTTGGGCCACACTTCCTACCAGCACCTCTCAGGTGGTCATGCTCCAGGTCAGGTAACACCCTATAACACAGCAGCATCTAAGAAGCTTATTCTGTCRGTCCTCTACCTGTCTGAGGATTAATTCTGGACTTTACAGAGCTTGCAATCTAGCACATAATGGGAACAGCTCAACATGCTCTGCTAAGACTCCAGAAAAGGGGCTTATTCTCTGCATACCGGTAATGTACCAAACTAGTGAGATCTTCATTTTATAGCTCCCATTTCCAGTCCAGGAAGGAATCAACTTGACATCAGGGTTGCCAACAGCAACAGGTTTTGAGGGCTGCCGACCGAGCCTTAGCTCRGCGTTCCCACCGAACTCCGCATTCCCACAGCAGACAAAGAGCAGGGGGGTCTGCACCAGCACACTGACTGCAGCACATCTCAGTCAAACATCAACCTTGCAACTTACTGACACTGAGATTTTTCAAAATGACCTGAGCCTGACGGGACCTCTATTTACCTCTCTTGCTCTTTCCTTCTTTCCAGCATAAGCGATGCATCCCGGCCTCCCTGGATGCATACTACTCAGCACAGGATTCAAACTCCCGGGGCAGGTTCTATACTGTCATCAGCCACTACAGCATGGCCAAGCAAACCAGCTCCCGGTCTGTATCGCCTTGGCTTTCTTCAGGACCGGTAAACCATGAAGCTAAGGCTGCCAAGACAGAAGGTCATTAAAATTAATGAGTGGTGATGGGAAAGTGGGAGGGTGGGGAAAAAAAACCCACCTTGTCTATACTGCATTGCTGTAGTTGAGAGAGGGCGCTGTGCTAACAGCATGACAAGAATAAATAATACCCAAGTGCAGGAGTCATCTTAATGGATATTTCTTTTCGTGCATTGTTCTCGTTGATTTGTAACCGAGTCAAGCTCTTGTACAAAGGCATGTTTGATGTTGACTGTACCTTACGATGTAAAATATTTTTAAATCATTGCTTAACTATTTGTTAGAAAAAAAGAAATTAAAAAACAAAAAAAGCAAATTAGAAAAACAGCCAGAGAGGATGAAAGCAGCAAGGAGAATCCCATGGAGTTGCTTCATTGCTGGAGAGTTGTGACAGGAGTGTAACATGCAATGAACAAAGAGCTGCWATCATTTTGAGAGAAGGAGTGGAGAGGACCTGTTACAAACCACATTGCTGTGTTGCTTATTTTGCCAAGAGAGGTAAGGGTGGAGTTTGCTGCAAACTGAATCCAGTTTCAGAGTACATTTGCTGATGGAGAAATACATGCATCCTTCTTCCCTTGAGTGCACACACACACAGCTCTGCATAGTGGCCTCAGTAAGTTCAGGAAGATCTAGGCATTCCTAACAGGCTGTCCCTGTGCTGCTGTTCTCGGGTGGATTCTGCAGATCAAATCCTGGTTGGTATTTGGACATGGCAGCAGGTGGGAACAGAGAGAGGCCACTGTAATGGAATCTTGAATATACTTCATAGCGTTGGAAGGCAGGAGAGCAGGGCTTTATTGATGCTTCTGGCATGGCTTTACTGTAACTTCCCTTTGCAAAGTTCAGTGAGTCTTCAGCCTTAGGAACCTGCACACTGAGCATCACCATAAGACAAAGAAATCTCCTGATGAAAGGAGGCACCCTCAAGTGTGACCATAGTATATCAACATATTCAGCCTCTACCTTCTCAGCTCTTGATTTTCTCCTCAGCCATCAAATGGGGATGCTCCTGCTTCACTCCTTCAGCTTCAGCTATGTGAGGGTYTAAGGTAGGTAGAAAGGTAGGCTGTAGAGCTCTCAGAGTGCAAGGGTCTCCCTGGAGCTCTGCCTACAAAGACAAACCAGACCAGAAGCTTAGTGCAATCCTGGACACTCCTCTCCTCTCTCCAGAGACAGCAGGTATGGACTGGTGGGAGTTGACCAATGCTTGATCAGAATSGGATTCCCTTCCCCAGAGCTGCCACCTGGCCCATTGCTGCAAGCTGGTTCTGCTCTGTGGCCTTGCAGGGTGACTGAACTGCAGGAGCAGACACACGTGCAGGGCAAGCTCACATTCCACTAAGGCTGCTTGTTCAGATTTGTTGCTAGACTGGGACGGAAATTAGGAACCGACCCCTTTTTCCCCCGCCTTGGGCAGTTTTGCTCTCCATTTTGCATACATAGACACCAGAGGGTGTAAACGAGGGCAGAACTCCTCAGTCCTAACAGGCATCATGATAAATAACTGTATAGCGTAGCTAAAAATGTAGTGCCAAATGCCATCGTCTGATTTCCTATCCTGCCTTCCCTTTCAAACCTGTAAATCCATTTCTCACTCAAAATGTACAAACTGCTCCCTCCACCGAAAACCAGAACTCCAGCAAACCACTGAACAGTTTATAATTTTGTGGTGTATTTTTTGTCAGTAGGTAGCAGAGACTGAAGTATTTTTTGGTGTAACTCTTGAACTTTTCTGACAGGATAAAATAAAGCTAGATGTGACCGAGTGTCCTGGTGGCTCTGGCACCTTTTTTTGGTCTGACTCTGCTGTGTGCTGCGAGGTGGCGGACGGGGATGTTTGTTTGCTGCAAGTGCTGAACGTGGATGCTTGCTTGCAGGGCAACTGAGATGGCTGTAGCTTTCAGGAGGCATTTTCAGAACTTTTTATTTGCCACTTGGATGACTGGGGGTCTTTTTCCCTATACTCATCCCTATTTTTCAATAGAAAATATAACGCCAGTACTTAAAAATAAGATGATTTTCAAAACAAACAGCATGGATCATGCTGTCTGCCCAGAACTGCTGGGTTCATTACTCTGTTACATAGAAGCCTGTTTTTCTTTTCCTCAATGTTTTGACAGTAAAAAACAGGCAAAAATGCTTTTCTCCAGCCCACACCATCACGGCGTGAGCATTTTGTGCTATTCCTATCAGTGATTATATGGAAACGAAGCATTGCAATAGAGGTAACAGAAATGTGATGGTTACCAAGCCCTTCTCTGTGCGTCCTGACACGGGGTGCTCTCAGGACTGTCCTGTAATCTTGCAGAGAACATGGTTCAGGGGTGTAATTTTAGCTGAGAGCAACATCAGCCCTTTCTCAAATGTTTTCTCAAACATAGTGATGTAACAGCGGAAAATAAGGGCTAGCACTTTCTATCAGTGATTCGTGACTCTCCCGAGGGACCTTCCCTGCCTTTTTAAGGCCAGTGACTGATTGAAACTTTGCCTGGCAGCAGTGTCCTTGGCCAGCTCCTCCTGCGCCCACGTTCACGTGCTCCAGAGCAGGGGCTGTTGCAAAACGAGGGCTGCAGGAGAACACAGCTGACAAAAGAAGCGCTTGGATGGGGCTCCTGCTGAACTCTGACAAAGCTCAGATCTGTATCTGAGCTCTGCTGCTCGCTTTGTAACGAAACCACAACTATACCCCTCTCATGCTGTTCAGAAGGCAGATCGTGTTGCTTCGAAGCCTTCAGCTCTTTGAAAAGGAATGATATTCTTGCATTAATTTGGCTCATTCCCAAAGGCTCAAGGATGCTTTATAAAAGCCTTTGGATAGATTCCCTTTGGGGAAAAAAAAAAAACTCTTCAGAGTTGCGAAAATGAGCTACTGCAAAAGGGAAACCACTTTTCCCACTAAGGGAATTAGTGGTCACCAGCAAGTACTTGTGAAATGCTTTCAAAAAAGGTTCTGTGCACTTTGCAAAATTGAGTCATGATATAATTTGACCATGGCATTTCTATGGCCACTCTCTGAGTAATACCCTAACTGTATGATTATTTAGGGGAAAAAAAAGATCAAATCATTTGTTTTGAAAGGTTGTAGCTATTATTAGGTAAGTGACTCACKGGGGATAGCCATTTCCTTTTCCTTACAGGAAAGTCCAAAATCTAGAGGGAGCAGAAAGGGCAGGGGAAAAAGGCCACAAGGAAGACTCATGGGAAAGCAAAAGAAAGCAGAGAGCCCAACTTTGACCGAAAATTCCAATACCATCAATGTTGTATGTTTCTTTTCTTTACAAGCTGCTTTAGAGCTTCTAAGATCAGACACATATTTTAATCACAAAAGAGAGAGAGACTAAATTTAAACTGTATCGTCCTCTCATTTCAATCTTTAAAAGACTCTTCAAGGCTGATCTTATGTTTTTAGGGCTGAACAAAATAGCCTATTTGGCGACAGACCATCTCCTCCTGACTGCTCTGTGAAGACTAAAGCTGCCAACTGTCTCTTCAGAATGCTGTTTAAGCAGCTAAGATCTGGGTTAGGACTGAGCCTCAAGCTCCTAATGGTCCTACAGGACCCTTCCTCTTGCTCCTTCCATTGTTTATTTGGAGATCAGGTAATRTCAGCTCCTACCTCATCATCTCAGGCTGATCCTAAGGGTGGAGGCTGCTGTATCTCTGCGTGCCTTGGGGTTGTCTTCACCATCACCACTCTGTGGCTGGGGACTCAACAAGATTTCTCTACTTTCTCTGCTGTTGGCTATTTCTGGTACATGGGAAAAGCTAACACATGGTAAGTTGCTGGTGTGGTGCAGAAATTTTGAGTGCTACCCCAAAATTCCTTTTTTGGCCCCTGGGAATGGAGGAGTTCATTTATTTTTCGGGACAGTCGTGTAGGAGATGTGTGCGTGGCTTGTGTGTCACAGCTGGAGAGGTGCGAGCAAATGAATGAGACCTGTCAGCACAGGAACGATGTCACCTCCGAGAGACACCGGCATGCGACGGGGCAGCAAGTTCTCTCTTAATGACCRCAATCAAAGGACGCAGAACATGTGGGGAGAAAACCCCGCAGGATTAAAGGTGAGGGTGCTGGGGTGGAAACTCAGCTGCTCCTCAGCATAGGTTTGGGAAGGGAAGGGAGCAATCATAGCTGTTTGAGAAGGAAAGGGATTACTACCAGCCAAGAATTGCTTTTTATCTTCTACCTTTATGATCCTAAAGGACAGATCCTGCTTGACTAATACAGCTGGGCTTGCTCTGGAAGGGCTGCCCATTGCTGCTACAAACATCTGCTGACTGTGGCTGTCCTGTAGCGGCCCAGTCCAGCAGCCAGGCTGATCCCTTGGGACTTACTTCCATGCTGAGAAAAACAAGGAGAGAGAAAAACAGGGAGCTGAAGGCAAGTCCCAGCCTGGCGGGCTGCAAAGGGCACAGTTTGATTTCACAGCACTGACTGCAAAGGTATCATTTGAAGGCCTGGCTAATTCTTGGAGACAATTCCATGCGTTGGATCCATGCGTGAAAGGCAGCTCCAAGCAGTGTCAGTACTTTGTTTCTGCGCTCAGAAAAGGAAAAGTCTGTGTCCCTTTTGCATGTGTTTTTTCCCTTTCCTCTTTTATCCTCCCTCTCTACACTTGCCAGCTGCTTCAGAGTTGTAATAATACCTCCAGAGATAAGTGTAAGGGTCATGCACTGAACTGCCTACAATCACATTTTATACGATTAGTCTTTTTTTTTTTTTTTTTTTTTTTTTTAAAGCACCCTAATTATTTCAGTCTCTCAAACAGGATTAAGCTATTGCTCTAATAGATTTTCAGTTCCTGTAAAATAGGTCACAAAAATGACTTCGGGGAGGAGTGGGAGTGGAGGGAAAGCTCCTTCCTGCTGCCGCTTTTGCTTCGTGTGCTTTTTGAAAGTGCCACGCAGTGGCACAGGTGCGAAAGGGATCCCATGCAGGGCAGTGCATGATTCCCCACCAAAACTGGAGGTCTCCAGTCCTGGCATGGACTGGTGCCTTTCTGAGGCGCCAACACGCACCCTTGGGCACTTTGCATCGTGTCTGCAGGCAAATTACAGCAAAATCCTCCGACTCGSACGTTGCTTAGGAGAGTGGGTGACAGCTGTTCAATGGGTTGCAGGTGGCTCCACCATGGAAAATAATCCAGGGTGAGTTCAGATAGAGGAAGGTGATCAAGGCAGTGTCATTACGCCTGAGCTGCTGAGTGCTGGCAAGACGTGTGCAGTGTCCAAGAGGCTTTTACSCTGCAATATGAGCAGTAAAACAGAGCAGGAGGAAACGGAAAAGGCTCTTAGGGCAGGTTGCATAGCTTGTCTTKGCGCTGCTGGTGCTCTGCTCTGCTCCTATGTGCTGGATGGCCGGGAGCAGAGCTGGAGCCCTTTCCAGCACTCCGAGGTGCCACTGCGGATGCGCAGGAATCAAGCACATGGAGCTCCCTGGTGTGCAGGCACCTSGTTGCTGCCTCCCGCAGTGTACAAATGCGGACCGGAGGCCAAGCACCACGTGGCTCCCCTCGCTGACAGCACCAAGCACAAGTAAGGCTGGTGCGAGCAGCAACAGCAACGCTGAAAACGAAGGCAGCCGTTAATAAATAATTTACATTGCTCTCTYGAGCTGCAATTGGGCAAGGGGAGCCGCTCCTGAGGCTCAGACCAGCAGAGTCCACGGGGCTGCAAAGCCACAGCAAGCCCYGTGCTCACAGGAGGGGAGCAGGGCTTGCTAAGGGCTTCTTCTGGATGTGCTTCAGACATGGTCCAGTCRTGGCTGCATATCCAGGATGGGCAAATTGATTTCTGCGTCTATTTTGTATGCCAAGTTATTACAATTACTCTTTGGGATCCTTGGGGATAAGAGACTATTAGAGAAATGAAAGCTCATTAACAATAAACAGAAAGGGTCAAAACGCCCCATAAAAATGTATTAGAAACAGATTCCAGTTTGGAAATGTAAATACAGTGTTTGGCAGAGTTCCGGACTGGCTGCTCTAGCTTAATCCACGGGGGAGATGTGCCGATTCTTAAAGCAGAAAGGAGAGGATTCTTAAAGCAGAAACTGTGTGAGTTGCATGAGTTTTGCATTTTTTTTTTGCTGGAAAAACAGTCCGGACAGCRTGTTTTGTTTTGCAAAGTCTCAGCCTTTATTGCAAAGCAGCAGTTGCCATTTTCTTAAGCTTAGAGCCACCAAGGGCATCCAAGACCYTTGCAAGGAGGGTGAAAGCAAACCTGCGGGGCCAGGTCTGGAGCTGCAGCCTGCTCCTTGCACCTAGGCCGGGASAGCATTTCAAATGCAGCCTCCCTTGCTACTGAATGACCAAGGGAAATGTTGCCTAAGGACACGTCAGAGCTTTGCACAGTCTCCTCAGAGCTTTGGTTTGATGCTGCCATCAACAGGTGTTTTAGATGGGCTGTTTTTCTCACACTGATGGTCTGGAAGAGGAAGATGGAACAAGAGAAATGGGTTTGATATTTGCTGAGGAGGCAGCAGTGTCAGCAGGCGAGGGGCACCACAGGTGGCTGTGACACCTTTTGGTGCTGTCCAGGTCAGGCTCCAGCTCACAGAGGTGCCCATTTAACCTTTAAAAAGGTTWAAAAAAAATTGTTAAAAAAAAMCCMMMAAAAACAAACAAAAAACTTCCTTAAAGCTGTAGCAACCTCTCTTTGCTCYATGTTCTCTCTTGAGAAGGCATTTTCCTCATCTTTCTGATCAATTGGCATAATCAGTGAGGYTTTGAGG